CTTAACCATGGTTCACTAGGAACCATGGTAAGGTCTAGCTAACCATCCATGGTCTAGAGGCTTGGAGAGCAAGCTACTCACTTAGCTTGCTTGGTAAGCAAGCTAAGGAGAAGCTTGTGCTTCAAGCTTCTAAGCTTGAGAGGAGACAAACAATTCAGCCAATGTGAACACAAACCAAGGTGGGCGGCTCTTTGGACTTTATTTTACTCCAACCGGTTTTGAAAATGTTGATTTGGTTTAGTTAGGTTCATCCAATGTGAATGGAACCTAGCTAAATCAAATCTATAAAAAATTAGGAGTAAAATGAGTCCAATATGTAAAAATTTGCCTAGGCCCACCTCTAGGCCCAATTGCTAGTAACACTCTCTAGCTTGCTAGTTACACTCTTTAGCTTGCTAATGCCACTCCCAATCCTACTACTAGAAAACTAAGAAAAGAGTGTATTTCTAGGTTAGGTTAAATGGAGTCAAAGTGTCCAAGTAACCTACCCTAGAAACAATATACAATAGCTAATAAAAGGAAATAAAGTGCCTCACAAATACAAAGGCAGAAATTTTGTATAGTTGGTGGTCTCTGGGTTCCTCTGACAGTCACTGAAAGTTGTCTGCTCCTCAAAATCTCCAAAGATGAAGGGTTGGGTCTTTGTACTGGTTTTACCTCTTCCAAAGGGATCACTGGGAATTAGATTTCCATCACTAGGGCTTCTATAACTTCCAAACCCTCTTATTTTCATAAACCCACATTCTCTCAACTCTCAAACCCTAGAACATTCATCTTCTTCATCTTCTTCATCTCCACCAAAGAACCAATTTTTAACCCAACAATTGCTTCATCTTCCAAAAGGCTAAAGAAGCTAGAAGTGAGGGGGAGCAAACATCCTCTACCCATAGAGCAACTCATCTCAAAATGGTTTGCTGATGAGAAAACCCAAGAGTACTATTTTGAATGGTATACGGATAGAAGAATCATCCCTCCCAAGACCTTGAAGCTGGAATGGTTCAAGAATGAGGGGTTTAACTTTCATACTCTAGATCGGAATTATATTATTTATTTATTTTATGTGAGCTCTATTTTAATATATTTTAATATAAAGTATGATTTTTGATTAATATTTAATTATTTGATTCAAGATAGGTTTTTATGAAATGTATTTTATTAAAGTTAAGTATATATTATTTTAATTAAAAAGGAGGAAGTGTATTTAATTATTTTTAATTATTTTATAAAAAGGAGAAGGGAGGATGTAGTGGTAATTTTGTTGTTATTGTTGTTGTTATTGTTATTATTATTATTATTATTTTAAGAGGGATTTTTCATGAGTTACATTTCACGTTCTCATTTTCTACTTATTTCCCTATTACGCACTTTGAAAACTCAAGAGAATTAGGAAGAGGAGATCACCAGGGAACCGTACGTGTTTCATCTTCTGCTCATCCAAGTAAGAGAGAGTAAAAAATCTCGCTCGTGGGTGTGGGAATATTTGATGGGTAGTAGGATTGACCTCCAATCCCTTGCCTAATGCATGCTCATAGGAAGAGGCAAATTCTAAATGTTTTCTATTTTAGTATTTGATGTTTCTAATGTGTTCCTTGTTGGATGTTATGCATGAATATGTAATTAATTTTGAAAATTGGTATGTCATGATGTGGATTAGTGTATTCCGTGGGTTCTTATGGGAAACTCTATGAGAAACAATTAGGGATATGATCATTTTACTAGAATTGAAGTGTTTAATGTGAAATTGAGTATGAATTTGTGTTCTAGAAGTTATTTGAAGTAATTATACCGATTGAATTGCATGAATATGTGTTTTAATGTGAAAATCATGTGATCGCGAAGTATGGAATTGCAGGTTCACACCGAGGGCGTCGGGCGTAAATTTATGGGTTGGCCAGGAAAGTTGAGTCGAGCTCACGAATTTGAATGCTTTAGGCGTGACATTAAATTTTTCGAACGCGCTCAAGGCGCGTTGGGCGTGTTGCTCCACTTTTGGTGCGGCATTTAATTCATTAGACACGAGTTAGGGCACGCTGGGTACGACCCTTACTGATGTCTACATGTTTTCTTGTGTGTTTGGAGGTATGAATTGGATGTGAACTATCTTGTACTAATTTGATGTGAATTATGTGTTCTTATTAATGTTATGATGAAGAGAATCCCTATATGCGTGACCTTATGAGTATGTCTACGAGAAATGTGAAATGTGAAATGTGAATAAGTGACATGAGACATGATATGATATGACAAGTGAAATGTTGAGTCCATGGATTTGTGAATGTGTGACATGCATCATATGCATTTATGTGACGGGGTACAATATGGAGTACGCCGTTAGGGAAGGCCTTTTGGGTGAAATATCTCAGAGGAGTCCTAAGGGACAATGCAGTTTGGAAGGCTCAGTTCTGCTCGTTTGTGTGCATTGGACGTATCTTATACGATTTCGCTATCTTGACAAGACCCTAGCAGTACATCCTTCTAGTTGAGAGTGCACGGTTAAGCATGCATGTATTTTTAGACTACTCTAGGTATGTTACTTCGGCAACATACAAAGTGATATGTGATTATGAGATATGTGATTGGTGCCAATGCGCATCTATGAGTGGAGTCCATGACATCGTTACATGATGAATGACTACATATGTGTTACTGTTGTATGTGTAACTTGAATTTGTACTTGATTAATGTGTAGCTATGTTTGTGTTTGTTATGATTTGTGGTTGTGTTGCCTAATCGTTATTTCTAGACCTGAATCCGAGTGAGATTTTTCTCACTCTCTTGTTTACTTTATGTGTGTCTTATTGTGTTGTAGGTGATCATTAGTATAGGATGTTTGTGATGAGGCTTAGACTTCATTATTAGGCGTGCTCTGATAAGATATGTGACATCAAGACTTAGTTAGAACTAGTTTAGGACTTTAGCTTCGTTCTTTTGTTTTGGAAAACTTTTAACTTTATTCCTTTTGAAAATTTCACAAGAGAATTATGATCATGTATGAGAATGTGAATCCTTTACCTCTTTGTTATTTGAGACTTGTTTAATAGAAAAAGTTTTTAGTCATTCAAATTCTATCTTACATTTATTGTATATTATATTAGGGTAAAGGGTGTCACAACTATGCCAAGAGACAGCTTTGCATATAATTAAACACGAATTAATGTTTAAAATTACAAGTTAGTTGTGGTCATGTGAGTACTTAAAAAAATCATTTGTAATTTTTTTTTCAAATCTTAAATATTTAAATATTATCTATTCACTACCATGCAAAAAGCTTTTTATGTTGCTTAAATTAAATTTTCTATATCAAATCTAGACTTGTCATAGTTGTTAGCAGTATAATTTTTTTTTTTTTTTATATAGTGGCGCTAAAGAATTGATCGAGATATATAAATTTTTTTAATGTTAATTTTTCTAACAAACGATGTAAAAATACCATTAGTTGTGTGTACAAATGAGGTGATGAAATTATTTTTCTAGGCCGGTTATATACTTAGCCGACATGAAAGATAACATTTATATGTCAGTTAGAGTTATAATTGACATAAAACATGATGTTTTTTTTTTCTTTTAATAATTTTTTTTCCACCCTGTACACAATAAAGACAATTTTCAAATTTTAGGACTAATCACTAATTAACAATTATAAATAATACATAATTATTATCATTATATAAATATCCCGAAAAATATAAATAAACTAGATTATACTATAAACAATCATATAAACAACACCAATTCAATACATTAAACTGATAAAAACCACATAATCAATCGATATATGAAGAAGCATAATCAATACTAATCTATTACATTCACATAAAATTCATCATTAAACGATAAATAAAGTAAAAATAAACTTACATACTAAAAAATATTCAATGATTACAATAAGCACTTAAAAATGTGAAGCTCGACACGTGCAAATGTCCTTCAATTCTTCCTTAGTGACTGCATGCATCAACTTAGGGCATGTTTCGTAAACTAGCAAATAAGTTAGGAGGTGCAAGCTGGAAATTTATAAACTAATTTATTAAATTAAAAATATTTGATAAAATTAGTTGATAAATATAAAAAATAACATAAAATAATATATTTAATTATATGACGTAAAAAAATTCAAATAAATCAATGAGGATAAAAATTAAAAAAAAAACAAAAAAAATAATTAAGTTAGATTATTTTCATATGTTACTTCAAATAGTTTATGAAAATAAATTAGAAACTATTAAAATAAGCTCATATACTAAATAAATTTATTTTAATCAAATATATTTATGTGTTATAATCTAATTAGCATATAAGTTATCTCCGATATTTTATCAAACACAAACTTAATATGCATAAAGTCTTATATATATTTACACTTTCTTATTATCATGTAAAAGAGAGAGTTGACAGACACAGGCATAATATTTAGGAATGTCTGTTATACCTTGATTGTCATACATACCGTAGTTTTTTTTTTATTATTTTTTTATTCTTAAATTTGTCATATAGTATGCTTCTACAATAGTATGCTACGTAACTTGATACACGACGTGACATGAAGAAATTTGATTATATGCAATAAATATATTTAGTTGGACTTGAAAACATTCAACAATATTTTCCAGAGTTTTCAATACATTACATAGCATTGTTCATTGAAACACAACATACGACGACAAGGTCAAGATAGTAATTTTAATTCAATTCGCTCTGTATCTTTCTTGGAATTCACAGCTGTTGAATACAACTTGGAGGTTAAAAGACCCACGTTTGGTGAAAGCTTCACAATCACACTTGTTCTTATTTTCTTAATGACTTCAAATTCTTTAATATATCATGCATGGTGTGATTTCTAATTAGAAAGCTCCACCCCCCTGATTTTCCTTTACACTAGGAAATCGATCAATTGTTGTAACCCTCAAGTCAGTGTTTCTTGTGAATAAGCTTGCTCATATAAAGCATCAAAACCTGAATTGAAGAAAACTTTTTTCTCTCCATGCAAGTAAGCACCCGAATCATTATTATAACAGATCCTATGATTGATTTTTCAATTATTGCTTCCTTCGTTTTGAATAAGGGATTTATATATAAAATCAAAGAGCTTGCTAGCTATATAGTTTAATTTTCTTTAACCTTTTGTAAGGCTTTTAATTTGCACAAATTGAAGCTCTTTAAGCAATTAATTTGCACATCATGCCACTTTTTGTGTGTTACAGAAGGATAAGGAAGTTGTTAGCAAAGAGGGTAAGAGTATTGAAATGGAAGGGACTCATGAGAAGGAGGAAACCCTACCACCCGGGTTTAGGTTTCATCCAACCGATGAAGAACTCATCTCTTACTATCTTATAAACAAGATTTCAGATTCTGATTTCACAGGCAAAGCAATAGCTGATGTAGATCTCAACAAATGTGAGCCATGGGAGCTTCCGGGTAGTTATCAAACATAAACCCTAGTTTTTTTTTTTTTTTTTTTTTTTTTTTTTTTTTTTTTTTGTGTGTTACAGAAGGATAAGGAAGTTGTTAGCAAAGAGGGTAAGAGTATTGAAATGGAAGGGACTCATGAGAAGGAGGAAACCCTACCACCCGGGTTTAGGTTTCATCCAACCGATGAAGAACTCATCTCTTACTATCTTATAAACAAGATTTCAGATTCTGATTTCACAGGCAAAGCAATAGCTGATGTAGATCTCAACAAATGTGAGCCATGGGAGCTTCCGGGTAGTTATCAAACATAAACCCTAGTTTTTTTTTTTTTTTTTTTGTTATTTAATTGAAGATTTATATATAGACTCATGCGTATACTATAAATAAATGCAAAATTTCATTGAATTTCTCATTTTTCATTTCCTTTGCATATTCATTTATTAAGAAATTATAGATCCATGGGTACTATATATATATTTGCTAAATTTGTTCATCAATTTTAGTCTTATATATTTCTTGGGTCTAATTCCCTTGCATGTTGTTCTTAAAATAGTCAACGCCATCTAGGGTTTCTCTGTGATATATAAGATATCATACCCTTTTCACAAGCAAGTGATTCATACAGTTATTCCAATTTCATCGTATTATACTTTAACTAATTTTTTTTTCATAATTAAGGTGTTTATACGTTTATCTTGTGATATAGTTCAAGATTTATGTACTATAATCAACTTGATTGATTCCTCCACGAAAGAAAAATATATTTTTTTTTTTCAATTTAACACTCAATTTCTATCTAATTTATAGTTCAAATTAATATTGGGTTTTCTCTATTAATATTTGTGTTTAAGTTATCAACGTAAATTAATGATATTCCATTAATCAATTAAAAGTCACTATTGATACTGATGAAAAAATAATACCACATGTTTCTGTTAAAAAAAAAATAATAACTAACAATTTGTACCGTTATTAGAAGTTATGCATATAATTATCAAAGATAAAATAAGAAAAATGAAAGTGGACACCAAATAAAAAAATCTCTTGTATTATTAGTATATATAAATAAATTTTAAAGTAATTATCGTAAAAATTAATAAATTTATAATAAATGATAATTTGTGATTGGTTGAAGATGTAAATTTGTTTTACACTTTAGGTGCGTGACATATTTTTATCTTAACTTCTATACAATTATTTGTGTGAATTAAATAGGGAAGGCGAAGATGGGGCAAAAGGAATGGTACTTCTTCAGTCTAAGAGATCGTAAATACCCAACGGGTGTGAGAACCAACCGAGCAACGAACACGGGGTACTGGAAAACCACAGGGAAAGACAAGGAGATCCTAAACAGTGTTACATCGGAGTTTGTTGGTATGAAGAAGACTTTGGTTTTCTACAAAGGAAGGGCTCCAAGAGGAGAGAAAACCAACTGGGTCATGCATGAATACCGCATTCATTCTAAATCCACCTTCAAAATCAACAAGGTACAAACTTGTTTACAAAACATCTGTCTACACGTGTCAAAAATAGTTTAATTAAATAATTCTATTATACTCAAACTATTTTTTTTATTCATAAGAAAGAAAAATTATGAAACCAATGAGGATAGATCTTCACACTCTATAAACCCCTTTTTAGCCTCTTTCAATATAATAACTACTATTTTTTTTCTTCTTAATTTGATATCATAGAATAATATCCTCCAACAATGCACTGATTGTTAATTTTTCACACTCACATTTTGTATTTTATATTTTTCTTTTGTTTGTTTTTTTTTTTCTTAAGCAAAAACTTGTAACATTTTCTTTTCAATTACTTGTCTCGTCATATAATTTAACGAAAAATATCTATTATTTACTCTGTTTATATCCATGTTATTTTCATTCTATTTTTTATCTTCGTTTTTTTCAATCACGTTATTTATTACACATATCGCACTTTCGCTCTAGTCTTACTTATCTTCGTGTATCTCCTATTTTCATGCCTCAATCTATCCAAAAATGGAGTGGTCCTCATCAATATTTTTACTTTACAGTTCAACTCATTACAAGTTATAACCTAGGAAAAGTTTTAAATCTCAAATGCGCTTAGCAATTTAAAATCCCATGGAATGATACATTTGATGTGTAACCGAAAGAGAGTGAGAAAAACTCTCTGTTTTCTTATTTTCTTTGTCGATATTCTGAAAGTAGAAATGCTTATACATCTGCTATTTATTAATCTTAGTCTACATAACTATAAAAAAAACTACTATCAATTTTTTGTTTTTTAAAATACAGTTTAATTATTATGGTGTAAGTTTGGAAAAATTTCTTTTTTTTTTTTTGGATCCATCAAAATTACAATAATTATTCAAATTTAAAACTGTGTATATCTGTTTTATAGACATTTCCAGGTAAAGAAAATAAGTTTCCTCACAATCTAAAATTAGCCTATTACATATCTTAAAAAATATTTTGAAGAAGGTAATAATATAAGAAAACTTCTACAAATTAATTTATACATAAGTTAATTTTAACTTTTGAAAAAAATTATTTTATTATTCCTTTCTATCTCTTAGAATAATAGATTTAAGCCTAACTTAACGCTATAAAACTGACTTGTAAGGTGAATGTTACTTTCCACTTATACACTATTTAATTGCCTTATCTCTAGTCGATATGGGACTTGAGTTTTTTCCAATACACCTCCTCACGTCCAGCACTATTAGGCTTGGTACATGGATAAATGGTAGGTGACCCTTTTTAATAATCTAGGATTGGTAGGACTTGAATACACCCCCCTCATGCTCATGGTGCATGTATCAATGAATGGTGGGTGACCTATTTTTAAGAATCTAGGACAACTTTGATACCATCTTAGAATAGTGGATTTAAGTCTAATTCAATCCTATAAAACTGACTTGTAAGGTGAGGGTTGCTTTTCACTTAATTACTATTTAATTGCCTAATCTCTGGTTGATGTAGGACTTGAGTTTTTCCCAATATTATCTTCTTCTATGAGTGCTTATAATTTTTTTTTATCCAAATAGATCTTGGATATGAAGTCCTTACTTGCTAATGTGTGTGTATGTGCACGCGTACGTGCATGTATGTGTTAAATAAATTTATTAAATAAATATAAACCTTTATATAATAATAAGAATATAATTTATTAAATTTTTTAAAGTACTATACATGACATAACTTGTATAGAAATTGTTACTACATCTGAACAAGAAATCCTTGATCTACCTACCTTTACATACTAACATTTGCAAGATAAATTATATACGATATTGCTTAATTATTAATAACTATATAATAATATTAATGGTCCATAATATAGACCTACTTGGAAACATCTCCAAAATACTTATGGGAGAAGAAAAAAATGAATTTCTTCAAAGACTGAAATTAGTTTATGCAAGTCAATCTATGTAGCTTCTCTCATATTAGTTTTTGTAGAAAAAATATTTTTAATTTAGGTATAAGTTTTAATTTTAACTTTAGAAACTTATTTCATGTTTTCATTTTATTTACTTCTTTTATAAATATTTTTTAGAAAAAATTATTTAAACAAACCCTGTTAGAGCATTTGACTCGATAATTCTTATATAATTAAAATCCGCAGTTTATATAAGCAACGTTCTTGGTAGTTTTTTTTTTTTTTTTTTTTTTTTTTTTTTTTTTTTTAAATTGAAATAGTTATAAAACCCATTTTAAGTTTTCAATTAAGAATTGCACTATTCGAGAGAATTCATTGGAATAACTTATTAAAACCGATTTTAATATTGACTGATATTATGAGTGAGTTGAGCTACTCCATCCTAGTTTTGTAGATGGTGTATAACATCTCTAACACTCTTTTTCTTTTATCAGCCAAGTAAACTTATTCATTTAATAATATGGCTACACAACCCATTTATACAACATGCCAATTGCTTACATCAAAAGCTAATTTGTTCCATACTTACACACAACAATATTTAAACTCATTTCCCTGCATAGAAAATCATGCCTTCTACCAATTGTATATGGTCGCTTTACAAATTCCCTCAACTGAGTTGCACATTTCCAATATATGTTTTTATTAAGCTAAAGCCACTGCATCCAAATATAACATACATAAACAAATCCCTAAAATTTGTTAATTATAATTTGTTTAAATATAAGTTGGAAGAATTATTGAAAATATTTCTATAAAAAAAATAGTTTTTTTAAGCAAATAAACTCTCAAAAATATTTATAAATTTTTATCTAAACAAACTTTTTCTTTTACTTTCTAACTCTCACTTTGTCTAAGAATTTAAACCATGTTAAAATATTTTTTTAGTTCCTATAATTTTATTTACTTTATCTTTTAGTTTTTATAATTTAAAATAAATATTTTTAGTCTCTATATATACTTATCTTTTTTAATATTTTTTAGTTCCTATAATTTAAGATGAATTTTTTAATCCATATATTTACAGTTTTCTAATCTTTGTAATTTCTATCATTAATTTTTCTATAATATTGTTTTTTTATATTGATGTGATATATGTATTAATTTAATTTTGTATGTCTAGTGTTAAATTTATTTTATTGAATAATTACTCTAAATTAGATATCTCGAACCTTTGTATTTTTTTTTATCTTCACATGTAACATGTAACTTTCATTGTTGAAACATTCATTTTTTACTTTCATTTATTACCAAAAAAACATACAACGATACCAAAAAAATTAACAATACAAATTAAAAAGATTAAAAAATTGCAACTATGAGAACTAAAAAAATCTATACAAAGTAAGACTGGTTGAAAAAATAAATACAAATACTAAAAATATTTATTTTAAACTAAAAAAATAAAAATAAGTAAAATAAACCCTAAACTACATAGGTGTAAAAACAACATACTTTTCAACTAAACTGTGACTATGTTATGCATGCAGCAGGAAGAATGGGTGGTTTGCCGCGTATTCCGCAAGAGTGGTGGTGCAAAAAAGTTTCCCTCTTCCACCCACACCAGAGCAGTGATGAATCCCTATAATCTCGAAGTTGGTCCTAGCATCATGCCACCACCAATGATGCACCTGCCAGACCCCACTTCCCATTTCCTCTACGGAAGAAACTACATGTTGAGCAATGCAGAGGTAGCTGAAGTGACAAGGCTCTTAAGAAACGGTGCTGGATCCACCACTGTGATGAACCTACCAATGATGCAGCAGCACCACCATTTGAACAACCCAGTAGCTGCAGCAGGAGGAGGATTCACCATTTCTGGCCTTAACTTGAATCTGGGTGGAGGCACAGTTGCTGCCACCACACAAACACAACACCTTTTGAGGCCAATGATGCTGCCACCACAGCCTTCTCCTGCTCACACTATGGTCCATGGGCATGATCACTTCAGTTCCAACATGGTCACTCCCAATGCTCTTGCTCCTGAAAATGTAGCCTATGGTGGTGCAGATATGAACACTGCAAATTCCCAAGGCAATAGGTACATGGACATGGACCATTGTGTGGATCTAGACAACTACTGGCCTTCCTACTAAATAAACTTTCCCATGAACATTTCCGAGAAGAAAAGATAAGAAAAAAAAAATGAAATAAGTTTTTTCTTTTTCTAAACTAAAATGAACTTATGCATAATTTAATTTATAGAAGCTCTCTTGTAATAACTTTTCTGAAAAATATATTTTATTTTTATATAAATTAGTTTTAGATTATGAAAATTTTAATTTCTATCTTTCTTCCTATGAGTCTATTGAAATAAACTTCTATAGAATCACTTTTATGAGAAAGAAAGAAGAAAAATTGAAACAAATTTTTTCATTAGCTGAAACTAACTTATATATAAATTAAAATAAGATTTTTGAGAAGTTCATAGAAAGAAACTTCTGCAAATTAAGTTATGGACAAATTTATTTCATTTTTTTTCTTGTTTTTCTCTCCTATAAGTGTTTCTAAAAAGAAATCCAAATATGCCTTATTTTCTTTTTTGGAGTGCTTCTAATGACTGGGTCAGTACCGAAACTATCAGCTACCATAAATGTTATATATGTTTTTTCAAGTGTTTTTATATAGGTCTAAAGCAGGTAAGTAGTCTGCAATCCAAGACTTGTGCCATCTTTGCCGAGAAACATTTTTTCATGTTCTTAATGTGTATCAGTTGCTCTCTTGGTTGTTAATAATTTATATTTAGACATTATGATTATGATTTTAGCGTCTCATCCCTTCTTTGTGAATTTATGCCTTTTTATTGTTAATTTTATACGGTCGGTTGGGACATGGTAATAGTAATATATTTTTCTTTTTATCGGACAAGAGAGAATATATATTATAATATTGGTACTCCGATATGCTAGCATACAATATTTGTTGGGATTCATCCCAAGTCCCACATCGGTAAAATGCTTGGATGATTAAGCCTCGGTTGCATAATCATGCTCAAATGTCAAGGGATGACATTTTGTTGATGCATGTAATCAAGAAAAAGATTAAAGTTGATTGGGTGTCTGTGGTGAATGACTGTATGTGGAAGGCTAGGAGGAAGGAGAATGGTCCAATACCATATGCTTTATCATTGTCTAGAATTTTTGAGAAAGCAGGTGTGGATCTGAAAGGGGAGAAAAAGATAATTCTCTATGCCTTGAACAAAATTGAGAAATCTTCCTTGCATCACATGGGGATGTTGAAACAGGAAGATAAATGGGTATTCAAGGGAGATGTCCCTCTGACTCCTGAACCTGCAACTGATGAAGATGGCGTTCCATCTCATGATGAAGACCAGCCACCACAAGTAGAAGTTGAACCTGAAAGAGAACAAGAATCGGAGCCTAAAGCATTCTCTCCATTTGAGCAAATTATGATTAACAAGTTAGATGCGGTAATGAAGATGTCTAGGAGGCACGAATCAATTTATTCGGGTATTCTTGATCGGTTTGATAACCTTGATCATGAGATTAACCGAATTAAGGCTCAACTTGGGATGCCTGAAGACTTGGAGTGATTTTAGTGCTTTAGTGTTCTTTTTTTTTTGTTTTAAGAAATTAGTTTAAATTTCTGTTTTTCAATTGGGTTGTAATTCGTTTAATTTTCGAGCAATTATCTTGGTTTATTTTGTTGAACAATTTATATTCTGATGCAATGCGAAGTTTTATTGTTGCTATATTGTGTTTGGAATGATTTGATAATTTTGTTTTGGATGATTGATTGTGCAATGTTTTGTTTTTGAACATTAATGAGGTGGGGCACTCATGTTGATTGTTTATCTACATTAGCCTAGGTTAATTTCTTTACCGGTTAAAAGAATAATTTTTGTTTTTAGTGTATCCTTAGGGAACTTGTTCTGTGTCTGGCAGGTGAATGAAGATACATCAGGGGAGCAAATTCCCACTAGTTTTGGAGAGGAAAGAAGAACATCAAACATCATGGGTGCATGTGCATCTTGGTTAGCTACCTTAGGATATTGTTCATGCTTGTTGTCATTAAACTTCAGCAAACCATATCTCAACAAACCATTTATCCCACTAGGATTCCATTCCCTTTGGGTTATCGCAACATTATTGGCCGGTGTGATCCTATTGATATGTGGTATTTCTCTCATGCTTGCTGCTAAACAAGGGTTCAACCAGATCCAGATGATTCTTATGTACATTGTCTGCTTAGTTTTGCTTTGTTCATCGTCTTATAAGGATAATTAGATGGTTTGATTTTTTTTTCTTTCTGTTTTTTCTTAGCTTGGTGGAAACAAGTTTTATGTAGATGTTTTTTCCGTATATCAATGCTTTTGAATGCGTGCGATATATGAATATCATCAATAATCTTATTTTTAGAAAAATTACAGCATCCTCGTTATATAAACACATTTTGTTTATTTTAAATTTTAATTAGGATCTTTAGAAGAATAAAGTGAATATAGTAATAAATTATACATTTTGTTCCATTATGTTTCTAGTATTTGGTTATTTATATAATTTTCATTTGCATACCAATGTTTCAGTGTGTGATATCAATATTAATAATAAATCAGATTTTAGTAAAGATCGTCACTATAGATGAATGAAGAATAGTGATCCTATATGACTGATGGATGTGCGGGGAAGTAATGGAAAGAGTAACCCATGTGCTCTATTGACATGCATGAAACCCAGACAATTGTGGTTTTCTTCCCCGTTGTTAAGTATAAGCATTGAAAATTAGGATCTTAATATAGTAAGAAATTATACAAGATTTTGTTCCATGATGTTTCTTGGGTTTCTTTTTTTTTTTTTTTTTTTTATGATATAATTTCACTTGTGTACGCTCATTTCTTCCGCTCTGTTGTCTTTTGTTAATTACGTGATTTCATTTGCATACTAATGTTAGGGTATGGGATATATCAATATTAACGATTAAACAAATTTTAAGAAAAATCATTATTGAACATATGGTCGGATAAAGGATAGTGATCTTATATGTACGATGGATGTGTAGGGAATTAGTGGAAACATATTTTAACAACCATCATTACTCAACAATTTCCTCTTTCTAGTTTTCATTTTTTTTTTCTCTCCTTGGGTCTCTTATTTTTTCGAAGATTTCCAAAACACCTGTTTCTTATTCTTCTCTTTTCAATCATATGTATCGTTTTAAATCTGTAAAGTTTTTTATTTTTTATTTTTTAACTAGTGCAATTAATTAGTTAATTCCTTTGTTTCATTTGTTAACTAAGAATTAGAAAAATATAAATGATTGTGGATTGATGGAAAATCTCAAAAAAAAAAATTTCTATTTTGGAAAACAATCTAGGAAAAAAAATAAAAAAGAGAGAGGAAATTTTTCAATTGGTAGTTGGGATTTTTTGTGGGTGCGATTGATTTTTGAAGGTTTGTGTGAGGTTGTGATTGTAGATAGTTGAAGAGGGTGAAGAAAGAGGAGGAAAGTTGGAGGGTTTATGATAGCCTATGAATTTGAAGAATTGATGTTTCTCAACTATTGGTTGTGAGTAGGTGTTATTTAGTGTGTTAAGTTTGATGGTAGTGATGAGGAATGATATACGCAAGTAACAACATGACGTGATTCTCATGTGACAATGTATGCAACAATGCAACAATATGCTCGTCCCCTACCGTAAAGTGAGGAAATAAAAAAGGTCTTTTTGGCCTTAAAAAATAAAAAAAAATTTAAATATTTTCATAAATAAATTGTTTAATAAATAATTTATCAAAAGACGTCTGTGACATTTTCAGTGTTTTTCCTGAAGATATCAGCACCCGTAACGTTTTTAGTATTTTTCTACTGCTACTGTAGTTCTACCGGATAACACCAACCAATTTAAGAACACCAAAAGGCTGAACGGATTTATGAAGTGCTAAGCGGTTTTACTCCAAACACCGAACAAGTTTTGAGTTTTGAATTTCTTGAGTTGAAGGTTTAAGGTTTAGTATTAGGTTATAGTTATAGTGTAATAGTTTTAATAAATATAAATATTTTTGTTGGTAATCATAATTTTATTTATTGCTAATAACAAAGTAATATGCTTTAAAAATATTTATTGGTAATAATTTGTTAAAACTTTGTAGTTGTTATTTGTTTTGTGTTTTACAATATGTAATTAAGTTGCATTTTAAAATAATCATGTTCTATATATTAACTTTTTTTTTAGCATCATCACTTGTAGATATTTGTATTCTCTTAATCCGGTTTTTTATGAAGGTGGAGAAATTAAAACTAGTCAAATAAACTATTCACGTGTTAGTAATCATGATTGTGGTTTGTCATTTTTGTCCGTAAAAAATGAATGGCCTAGATCTAACCGACAAAATGAACGCACAAAATCAAAGCAACTAGTCAAATATAATATTAACATGTTAAGAATCGTGAATGTGGTTTGTCATTTTTATTTGTAAAAAATGAACGACTCAGATCTCACCGATGAAATGAATGCACAAGATCAAAGCCACTAGTCAAATATATTGTTCACGTGTCAGGAATCATGAATGTGTTTTGTCATTTCTGTCTATAAAAAATGAATCGCCTAGATCCCACCGACAAAATGAACGTACAAGATCATAGCAATCCATTGAAATGCACATGTGTGCAACATTTATTATTTAAAGACGTCCATACTCTTGACTGAAATCTATATCTAAAGCTTTTAATATTTTTCTGTGTTTTTCGTGCATCATTAGTAAACTCTACTCTCATTTTAAAAATGTCTTTCATTTGCTTACTGGATTATAATGATAGTAAAATTAACAATCATCAAGGTTGTATTTTTACTAGTCAAACAAAAACAATTTGTGTAAATTGTAAAATAGATTACTGAGTATTTTGCGCAAATGTTAGGTCAAGCAAACGCAGAGATTGCGGTTGGTCAATGATATTGTTAAAAGTTAATGGATGCTATGTAGAACAATTAAGAGGAGGCAACATCTCATTTCGTTCGAAGATTGTTTATGAGGCCAACATATTTGAAGTGGAAGAAGCTTTCAATCTAATTAGACAAAGAGGTGGTCATACTTGGACAATAATTCTTAATGAACAAAAATGTGAATGTAATGTTTTCTAAGCTTATAGATATACATCCTCACATGTCATTGTCGCATGTGCTTATATTCACGTAGATCCCTTGAACTATGTTGATGTTGCCTATTCAAATGCATATATTAAATAGGCATATTTTGAGCAATGGTACCCACTTGGTAGTGATGACAACATTTGTCCTACCAATGGATCTCGCATTGTCCCTAATCAAACTATGGTTAGAGCTGTCAAAGTGGGCTGGGACCCATGGGCCAACCCGGCCCACCTTGAAAACGGGCCGGGCCGGGTCAAAAAAATTTAAAATTTTATAGTAGGTGAGTATATCTCAACCCGACCCACTTTGACTCGACCCACCCAGGCTAAACTCGTGGTGGGCCGGGTGGCCCACCAACCCACCATTTTTTTTGTAATAAAAATTTAAGTATGATTTGTAGTTAATTTTGTATGATAGTATATTGAAAATTTTTATTTTAGACTTTTATCATGATTTGTATTTAATTTTGTAAGATGAATTATGACTTATGACTATTAATGATATTAATTTTATGACTATTATGTTAATTTATAATTAATTTAAAATTTTGAATTTTGTTGATAATTTTTTTTTTAATTTTTGGTGGGCTGGTGGGCTGGCCCGTATAACCCACCAACCTGTGGTGGGCCGGGCCGGGCCAAATTTTTTTTGAAAAAATTAC